TATAATATTTGTGCAATTATGTTAAGGCGATTTTAGAATCTAATATATAATATTGTCTAACTAACCACGATTGACGAAAGTATAAATTCCATTTCAATCCAATTTTCGGTTTTTATACCTATATTGCATAATTCTAAATGAGTAAAATTAATTTATTATGATCAAATTTTTGCACAGYCACAGGTAGTATACACTTGTATACACCTACTTAATCATAGTTTCTCACTCCAAGTTGTAACGAGGTTGAGATTGAGGACAATTCTGGAATGGAATGTATTATCGCGGTATTAATTTTATAATAACATGGAATTACGGCGCAATGATTGTATACAATTATTAAAAATAGTTGCGCACAGTAATATTAGCATTAGTCGTGTAATATACATGAAAAATAAATGTTTTGTACAATGATGTAGATCAAAATTTTCAGTAAATTTTTTGTCGGTCGGTTAATTTTAATGACAGCTGCAGTCTAGTTAAGTTCAACGAAACAGCAACTGAGCGATGCTTACTAAAGCTGAAATGCATAATTAACCTGATAATTATTTGACCACAATGTGTGTATTATTATCGTATAAAATGCGTAACGCATGACTGATAATTTTTGACRTCATATGAATATAAAATAGTGTGTTTCATCAAAAGGTTGTCAGACGTATAGAAGGTACCTATCTAATACATTAATTTTGTATACAAATTTGTTGTTATTATATTATATTATGTATTTATGTACAATAACCTACTGCAGATTTCACGATATAGGTATTTGCATCATGTTGCGGTCAAAAAAATATGCTATGTACAATATGATACATTAAATCGAAATTGCCTGTATAGTTGCATTTTTTGTTGGTCGATTAGTTTTGACGATAACAGCTAGTCTAATTATTGTGTTTAACGAAACATTACGCGATGTTTACTGCTGCAGCCGAATACTATAAAACTATAATTTTTAACCGCAATATTATATTATCATAAAACGCATTACCGACAATACTACTGATAATTGTTAACATTATATATGACTATATWKAGCATCTTTATAGAGTGTGATTCCAAAAATACGTTGCAAAACTTAAAAAAGGTGCCCATTACATTTGTATACGATTTATGAAAATATAATTAATTGACGCTTTATTGCGGACACACTATACACAGTCTTTGAATGTTCTAATTTCGTAAGCGCATGTTTACACGGCAATCTCTCCGACTCGATCGAAACTTCAGCAGCCGTGTTGTTATTATATTATTATTATGCATATACCTACCGTAGATTTCACGATATACCTGTATATCATGTACCTGTACATGTTGCAGACAGTTCTCTACGCCGCAAATGCAGTTTTGAATTTACGCACGTAGGTATATGCGTATGCTAATTGACACACCAAACGCGCGCAGTGCTTTATAATATCAATACGAGACAAACATATAAAGCCAACGGTTTTATCTGATCGGTGTGTTACGCACATGTTAGTGTATATTATAATAATATGAGCATATAATAGCATTTAGTAGCAAGTATAATATAACAGTACATTAGTGCAGGCAGGGTCGTAACTGTTTAATACATAACTCGGACTTTCAGGATATGATATTATCGACGAAATCATCTAAAAATAAAAAAATAAATGCATCGAACTAGTTTCGAACGGAATCCAATAAAAAAACCAACACGATATAATATACTGCAATAATGACGTTATGGTTCGCGAAATCGAAGAGCAATTATAATTAAGGCGCCGTTGGCGATGCCGGCGCCAAACTTATGACTGTTCCTATTCCGCGGATGAAATATGATGCTTATAATTTTCTATATTATGCTATTCGTATAAATTTTGTGTCCGTGATAACATTGTACCCATACAAATAAAAAGTTAAGTTTTTGCACACGCGCAAAATATAAAAGTTAAAAAATTTTAATTTATAAGAATTGAAAATCTCCGATAGTGATACATAGTCATAGTCATAATCTTGCGTAGTCGTGTGCCGCAAACATAACTCAAAAATATGTATATAAGTACTGATCAATAAAAGGACCTAACTGCAAAGTTATAGAGTGATGTACTTATAGGTATTGAGAACAGGCGATATATGCATTAATATTAACTGCAGTACCTATATTATTTTTATACRAACGATTATCCAACGTTCGATTGTGCTAACCTATAATTGCAGATTTGTGTGGGGGGTCTTTTGGGGACCACACTTTTCCCCGATCACTGGGTCAGCAGTCCTGCAGTATACACAAAGGTCCATTAGCAATTTCCTTGGAGAAAAACTATGCATTGACTATGAGATGCATATACAAATACTTTCTGATACTTATCGATATAATATATATTATATACATACCTAAACCAATCTATATCGATATAAGAATAAGATACACAGCTATATACCTCCTTTAATCTAAGGCCGTGTTTTTATGTATATATAAGTAAATGATTTTAAAATCATATAGTTTATTCCGATGACAGAGCGATAATTTTTATGATGTCGCACAGCGTATACCTATATGCGATTCTCTGGTCAGAAAACGYTGTCCGGCCGGTGCAGTAAAAAGTCTCGTTTGCAGCTCATACAATTTATCCACTGCACCCTTAAGTGCATATATTATTGTTATATGCATATCATAATATTATACATTGCAAGAAATCTGATGCTGCACCCCTGCAGATTAAACACGCATTATTATATACGCGCAGGCACATATGGTTAACCATCATGCAACATATTATTATATRTTATATTATATAGCTGCCACCGGTTGGGTGGGCGATAAATCGATAAATTCATCTCAGCAGATTTTAATGACTCGAACGCTAAATAATATATATATACTGCATCTGATGGAATAGTTTGCGCGCGTCGAGACTGTATAATATAATATTATTGTATTTATTTATAGGGAGTCGCGCCTTTCTGGCGTGCAGCAGATAAAATTTCTGGATAAACCAAATGAGTGCAAAATATCGCGATAGATCGGGATCGATATTATATTTTATATTATGCGGCGGCGAGACTTGGACGTACCTATAGTCRGACTGTTGTAGGTTCGTCTTGCTAAATAGCGTTATAAAGAGACAAAAATCGTGCGAGTCGTATACATATTTTAACGATCCGTATAGATACGTAGATATTGTTAAGTGATGACATCTGGCCGTGCGTATTCATCATATAGGTGCATTATACATATCGGTAAAAATATACGTGCAGTTCTATACAGGTCAGTGAACTTA